ATATCATTCACCGTCATAGTCTAGTCTTTCTTCTTCTGACCTAGGCCTGTGGAGATGTTTTCCAGTTTCACGGGCGGTTCTGTTTTCACTGTGTGTGGGCCCGATGTAGCCACTGCATTCCTAATTGTTGTCTAGCCCTCAAGAATATCAAGGTCTTGCAGCATGTACACTATATATGGAGCTGAGACAACAACTGGCTTCTTTTAGTCAGGGCTGAAAGGATCTTTTGTCTTTTTTCTTGACTGAAGCTGACCATTCCATAGCTTGGAGGCAGTATGGATGCTGTGCCTATCCTCTTCAAGCCTTCTTACCTTCTCCTGAGGTGCACCCTGGACTGTATCATACAACAAAAGCGGTTCACTCTCACAATGTTGGTGAGAAGCTTGAATTGCATGTCCATATTTGCTCTTTACAGATTCTAAGCAGAGCTCTCTATGGATTCCTGCTACCTTTGTAGGAATTTGCATGCTTTCTTGTAAACTTGCCAGTGGTTCCAAATATTCTGGTGCCTTTCCAGCTGTGACTTCTTGTAGTTTTGCACCCATCTGACTTACCCATTCTTTATAAAGCTGATCTTTGAGATGGGTAAACTGTTTTTCAAGACGGGACATTTCATACAAACACTCCATTCTCCTTCTTTCACAATCTTCATCATCCATTTCTGAGCTATCGTCGTCATCCTCGGAGACTGAAGGGCTTTCTGCATCCTCGTCCTCGGAGCCGCTTCCCACACTTTCAGCGTAGCTGGCTCCATCTCATTATGATGTTGCAGTTCCATCTTATCCCCTCGGGAACACACCGCATTTTCCAGTCGCACCACCGCTTCCCACTCCGTGCCAGGTCCCACAACGGCCACTTCAATGACGGGCTTGCTGAACGCCTGGACCCACGCAGCAGCCAAGCTCCTTCTGAACGCCTGGGGCTCCTCCCCGCGCCTTGTAGTTTTGTTTTTTATTTTTTATTGTGGATTGAGTGATGGTTTACAGACAAGATCATCAGATCTGCATTCAACACACAATACACTTTGTTTCATCTCATTGATTGCAATCCCCTCTGTGGAACAACATCTATCCCACTTCCTCCCTGGGGTTCCTGTTTCCCTTCCACCCACCTTCCCATCCGTTCTCGCCACTTTCCTTAGGTCATGGTGCCCCTTTGATTTTGAATGATTAATGGTTCCATTATTCATAATGAGCATATTTTACTTGTGACGTCGCTCCCTCTGTGGAACAACTTGGCTGAAAGTTGTTCCCCCTATATACCTATCTACTGCTTGGCTAACAGTGTCCTCCTTTACAGACCTGAAGAGTGATTGAGGACCACAGTCTCAGGTTCCTCCAGTCTCATCCTGACCAGTAAGCCAGTCCTTTTTCAAAACATAAAAATTTAAGTTTTGTTCCACGCATTATGCCACTCTCTCCAGCACCTTTGAATGTGATCCAGTTCAAGGCAGTTGGTAGTGGTAACTTGACACCACCTAAGTCTTAGGGTCTCTGGGTTGTGGATACTGATGTTCACATGTTCCATTGGTCCACTGGACACGTTGATTCTAAGCATTGTTAATTCTCATCATTTTTCTTTCTTCCACACATGGAGAGACTAAAGCTGCACCCTAGATGGCCTCTCACAAGCTTTTAATATTTCAGATGCTACTTACCAAACCAAGACGTAGAACATTGTCTTTGTGGACTATGTTGTGTCAATTGACCCCTGAGATTATGGTCCTGAGCCCCGAGACTCAGCTAGCTATCATTGTCTTAAGATATTTGGTAATATCTAGTTTTCATCTTTTTGCTCACATTCATAGTGGTGTTTGCAGGAAAGGAAATGTACCAATTTCCTCTTTAACCCTTGTGTATCAGCTCTGACTCATAGTGACCCTATACAGGGTTTCTGAGGCTGTAAATCTTTACGGGAGCAGAAAGCCTCATATTTCTCCCGCGGAACAGCTGGTAGTTTTGAACTGCAGACCTTGCGGTTTGCAGCCCAATTCGTAACCACTACGCACACTATATACATATATGGAGTCCTGGTGTGGAGCTGTGGGTTAATGTGCCAGACTGCAAAGCTGTTTGAACTACAAGGTTGGCAGTTCAAGCTCATCAGCCGATCCTTGGAAACCCTATACAGGGTCGCTGTGGGTCAGACTCGACTCGACGGCACTTAACAACAATGATATACATATATAATATGAAATATTTACTGATGAAGGTCAAAGACCACAGCCTTTTGATATAGATTGCATCGCGATGTAAAGAAAACAAAAATCCTCACCACTGGACCAATAAATAACATTCTTATCAACAGAGAAAAGATTGAAGTTGTCAAGGACTTCAGTCTTCTTGGATCAACTATGGAAGCAGCAGTCAAGAATTCAAACGATGTATTGCATTAGGCAAATCTGCTGCACAAAACCTTTTGAAGAGCAAAGATGTCAGCTTGAGGACTAAGGTGCGCCTGACCCAAGCCATGGTATTTTCAATAACCTCATATGCATAGGAAAGCTGGACAGTGAATAAGGAAGACTGTAGAAGAATTGATGCTTTTGAGTTATGTTGTTGGAGGAGAATACTGAAAGTGCCATGGGCTGCCAAAAGAACCAATAGATCTGTGTTGGGAGAAGTGCAGCCAGAGTGCTCCTTAGAGGCCAGGATGGCCAAACTTAGTCTTTTACTTCGGACATATTATCAGGAGGGTCCAGTCCCTGGAGAAGGATATTATGTTTGGTAAGGTACAGGGTCAGAGAAAAAGAGGAAGACCCCCAATGAGATGGATTGGCAAAGTGGCAGCATCAATGGGCTCAAGCGTGGCAACAATCGTTGAGGTTGGCCCAAGACTGGGCAGTGCTTCGTTATGTTGTACATAGGGTCGCTATGAGTCGGTACCAACTCGATGGCACCTAACAACAACAACATATACACATACAAACACATATACACACATTCTTGTCTTCTTCCCATAATCATTCGGCATGTGTCTCTGTCCATGTACTTACCCATAGAGTGTTGCTGTTTCAGGGTTGTATACATATCAGTGTTTACCTCTATCCCCTTTAGCCCTTGTACACATCCCTGTAGCCTCACCTGTTTTCATCATACTTCTGCCAACCTCCCTCTTCTTGTATATTGCCCTTCCCTTTCTTGTATGTTGCCTTCTACGTCACCCAAGTTAACTCGTGCCTAACATCTAACCAGTGAGCCACCCTCCCTTCCCTACCATCCCTGGCAACCATCAAAGACAGTTTCATTTTTCTCTTACATATTTGTGGGATATAAAAACACGTATGTCTCATTCTTCATCTCTTACCCTTCAGGTTATGTCTCAATCTATGTATGTATGCCCAGAACACTGTTGTCCAGGGTTGTGTACACATCATTATTTACATCTACCCCTTTTAGCCCATGCTTACCTCCCTTTGTCCTCACCTATCTTCATTATTCTTCGGCCACCCTCCTTCTTCTTGTATATTGCCCTCCCTGTTCCCCTCTAGACTGTGAATTACTCTCCTTTAGGGTCTTTTCCACGCTCTCCCCCCTTTGTATCATGATTCATCTACTGTTCCTGATATAAAGGATGTTCCTAATTCGAACGTTCAGTACTGCTACCCTGGAACCACCTAGTGGTTCTGGCCCCAAGTTGGAGGAGGCAGGAGTTCATGTAGACAATTCATCCTGTTAGTCCAGTCTCTTCTTTCATTCTTGGGTTTTCTTTTTTCGCTTTTGTTCCATAGTGTTTAATAATGGCTGATTTTTTAGAAGTAGATTACCAGTCTTTTTCCCAATGTGCCTTTGGGTAGATTCAAACTTTCAACCTTTTTGTTAACTGTCAAGCATGCTAACCATTTTCACCTCTCAGGGACTCTAACTCAGCATTGTTGTTGTTGTTGTTGAGTGTCACTGAGTTGGTTCTGACTCAAAATGACTCAGTATAGGGTTTCTCAGGAGTGGTCTGTGACTTTGAATCATCAACCTTGCAGTTAGCAGTCCAGTGCTTATCCTACCAGGTAAGGACTCCAAACTCGACTCACGACTGGATAATTCTGTGTTATGAAGGACTGTCCTGTGCATTGTAGGACGTTTGCATACATCCCTGGCTTCTCCCAGTAGCATGCTGCTACCTGTTGTAACAACCAGAAATATCTCTAGACACTGTCAAATGTCCTCAGTTCAGAGCCATTGATCTAAGGCAAGAACTTTGGAAAGGTCTTTTTCAACTTCAATCAATGTTTATGAAACCTGACTGTACAGTAGCATTATCTAGGGAACTTTGAACGATACAATTGCCCAGGTCTTACCCCAAACCAATGAAATCAAAATGCAGGATGGGAAGAAGTGAAGACCAGGAATGGATGGTTTTTAAAAGTACCAGTGATTATTTTAGTATCAACCAGGTTAAGCATCACTCAACTACAAATAAACCCACATGCAGGATGTTTGAAAACCTTTTAGTCAATACTATTTTCCATAAAAGTCACCCAGAAATGAATGATTCTGGATCTTAGGTGCCAGGTGGAATTAGGCTGGTGGAAATCAGTTGAGGAAAACTTAACGTCACTTCGGCATAGGCCTTGTCCCTGACCTTTGTAATTCCCTCATGTGAAAGCTGGCTCAGCCCATCTTCATCCTAAGATGCACACCCGATCCCACCTACTTTACCTGGACACGGCGGGGTCCTGCTGGAAGAGAAGGAGCAACAGCTCGGTGTTGAGGAAGAATGCCCAGCAGGGGAAGCAGGAGAGGAGGAGTATGAGCGTGCCCCTCTGTAGGATGACGCCCACGTGTTTCAGGTTCCGGCTTCCGTAAGTCTGGGTGCACACCGCAAAAACAAACCCATTAACCCAGAAGCAGTGCCCCCACTGTCCCGCAGAAGTCTTCAATTGTGCCTTCCAAAGAAGGAAGTGGTCCTAGAGACTGGCTACGTTCTTTGGTAGGAGAGCACTGACAATAGGAAAGATCACAAATGTCCTACCCATTAGAATCCCCTGGGGAAGTTTGAAAACAGATGGTGTGGTCCACTCCAGGTATTCTGAACTTCACTGGTCTAAGGCAGGAACTCAGATATCAAAAGTTATTAAAAGCTCCCCACTGATTATGACATGAAGGCACCTGGAGACTTCTTGTTGTGTGCCATCGAGTCAGGTCTGACTCATAGCGACTCTGTATAGGGTTTTCAAGACTGTAAAATTTACAGGAGCAAAAAATTTCATCTTTTTCCTGCAGAGCAGCTGGTAGATTTGAACTTCTGACATTTCAGTTAACAGCTCAACCTGTAACCCACTATGACATCAGGGAAACTTACTAGAAGTACAAATTACTGGGCTCAACCCCAGACCTACTAGGAGTATGGCCAGAGGGGAGCTGGAGCCAGCTTCTACCAACATAGTTGGGCACATCTCTTTTCAGTTCCATGTTCAGTGACATATCAATGGTAGCCTGAAATCAGCCACGTAAAGAGTATCTTGTTGTTAAGTGCCGTCAAGTCAGTTCTGACTCATAGCAACCCTATATAGTGTTTCTGAGGCTTTAAATCTTCGCAACAGCAGAAAGCCTCATCTTTCTCCCCCGGAGTGGTTGGTGGGCTCAAACTGCAGACTTTTGGTTCGCTGTCTGATTCCTATGGCATGGAGTCACCACACTCCTCAAAGAGTACCAGCATACTACTGTTTAGGACTGAGGATTCTGTGTTTTAACATGCTCTCCCAGTGATTCTTATACACATTAAAGTTTGAGGACCGCTAAACTGGTAGCGTAAGGAGCTCTGGTAGCGTACTGGTTACGAATTGGGCTGCGAACCGCAAGGTCAGCAGTTCGAAACTACTAGCTGTTCCGCGGCATTAAGATGAGGCTTTCTGCTCCTGTAAAGATTTACAGCCTCGGAAAACCCTGTACAGGGTCACTATGAACTGGAACCGACTCCACGGCACAGAACAACAACAACAACAACAACAACCAAGGGTGGGCAGGAGAAAGATGAGGCTTTCTGCTCCCACAAAGATTTACAAGCCTTGGAAACCGTACGCTGGGTCGCTATGAGTGGAACCGACTCCACGGCACATAACAACAACAAACCAAACCCAACTTAGTGACATCAAGTTAATTCTAATCCAGAGCAATCTGATACAGGGTTTTACTGGACGATACCAAAACAAGTCGTGGTGTGGCGCTGTAGGATGATGCACTGGACCACAAGGTCGATTTGAACCACAAGGTCGGTTGTACAAATTCACCAGCCCCTCCTTGGAAACCCTATACAGGGTCGCTGTGAGTCAGAACCAACTTGATGGCACTTAATGACAACATACCAAAGAAGCCCTAGTGTTGCAGTGGTTAAAGTGCTTGGCTACCAACCCAAAGGTCAGTGGTTTGAACCTATCAGCTGCTCCATCAGTCAGTTTCTGTGAAGATTTACAGCCTTGGAAACCCTATGGGCCCATTTTACTTTGTCCAATAGGTGGCGCTGTAGGGTAAGCATTGGACAAGGTCAGCGGTTCAAAACCACCAGCTGCTCCAAGGGCTGTCTGCTCCCATAAAAATGTACAGTCTCAGAAAGAAGCCCTATGAGTTTAGTTTTTTGGTTTTTTTTTTTTTGCGGGGGGGGTATAGGGTCACTAATGAGTTAGAATTGACTTGACAACTGAGTTTGGGACTATGCCAAATCAATGACACCTATACTACAGTAAGAGACAGAAGAAGGAACTTTTGCAAACTGTCCCTCATTTGGTTAAAATGTAATAAAATACAGTCATAGAGATAAACACTGGCTCACAAGCCTAAAAGAAATCCAGCCACATTTAAAAGAAAGCAGACAAGGGGAAACGGAAGTGACGGCTAGTGGAATGCTGCGGGAACTTGCTAACTGTACACAAGCTCCTTCTTGCTTTCACACATGCTCAAGAGGTGCCAGGGTCCTGTCAGAGTGTGACCACTTCCACTTACCTGAGAGATGAGGGTGTCACATGCAGACGATAAGCCAAATCCCACGGAAATGCCAGTAACGTTGATAACCTGGAAATAAACCCACGGAGATAAGGGCCCACAAAATTAAAGCAGGAGAGGAACACAGTCTCAAAACCTGAAGAACTCTCCCAACACCATCAAGTCGATTTACTGCACTCGCTTAACTGCCCGCAGCCCCTTAGAAAATCAGCTGGGCCCACTCAGAGGACACGCTTACATTTAAACCAGTTGCCACCAAGTCCAGTCTGTCTCATGGTGACCTCATGGGACACAGTAGAACTGGTGTTCCACAGGGTTTTCTTTCTAAGAGAAGCCCCTTTAATGATCATTGTTCTCTTGGTGTTCCGTTATTATTTACAACATTCATCATACATAGGACATATGTGTGTGTGTGTGTGTGTGTGTATGTGGTGGCTACTTGCTATCAAGTTGATTCCAACTCACGGTGCCCCATCTACGCACAGAACTACTCCACAGTGTTATCCCAGGCGTAACCTTTCAGAAGCATACTGCCAGACTGGTCTCCTGAGGTTTCTCTGGGTGGGGTCTAACCACCAACCTTACAGCTAGTACTCAAGGGCTTAACCATTTGTGACACCCAGGGGACTGCCCACAGGGTTTGTTTGTTTGTTTGTTTTAAAGCTTTTATTTGAACTGAGTAATAGTTTACATGGGAGAACATCGAATTTGCACACATCCTATTTTTTTTTTTGCTTCATTGCAATGATTACAATCCCCTCCATGAATCATCATTTAACAGTAATTGTTTCTATTCCCCCTGTTTTGTTTGTTTGTTTGTTTGTTTGTTTGTTTTTTTTTTTTTGATGTATGCAAAAGTACTCAGGAATATATAATCATTTAAACAACCAAAGGGCATATTCTGCAAAGGGCAAGCCTGCTTCCTGACCACCAGCATACAGCCTTTCTCTTCCCATGAGTCTAGAGTCCTCAGCTGCTCTCTCTCTCCATGCTGTTATTTCTGCCTCCATCTCTGCTGTCGCTGCTTCTCTGGATAGATTCCTGCTTTCTGCTTGTGTTCTTCTCCTTTGATGGTCCTAGGGTCCTCTGGTCCTGGACTGTAAGATTAACCACTCCCCTCTTTATGTTACAAAACGTCTACCTCTACAGTAGTGACGATCGCAATTAGTCACTATTGAATCAAAAGAGTCCTATATCCATCGCCTTTCATCAGACCTGTCTAGACAAGATGAAAACTAGTCAGTGGGAATTCTACCTTCCCCTGCACACTCGGAAACTAAATTCCCTCTTGAAAACATATAAGCCAGCCACTGCGTGTGTTTATAGCCCCCCCGCCCCCATTTTAGTAGCCAGTGTCTAAGTTGCCTGTCCCTATCAACCCTGTATACCAAGGGGATACGTTTGATCCTTGATATGAAGACTCCTTCCCTCTTGGTTGATATTTTGAGCTACTACAGCCATAAGTAAGGAGCTCTGGTAGCGTAGTGGTTATGAATCAGGCTGTGAACCACAAGGTCAGCAGTT